TGTCATGCATCTGAGAGCTGGACAATGAATAAGGCTGACAGAAGAGGAATCCAAGTCTTTGAGCTGTGATGCTAAGACAGGATGGGATTCAGATCCATTGTTCATAGGGTTGCTGTGAGTCCTACATGACAGAACCTAACACCACCACTTCCATGTACAGTGACTCCATATTCCCTCCATACTTTGGACATGCTGCTATGAGAGGCTATTTCTTGGAAAGCAACATCGTGCTTGGGAAAGCAGAGGGTTGGCAAAGGACAGGAAGACTCTCAACCAGGTGGATTGACACGACTGCTGCAGTGGGTTCTAGTGTGTCAGGAAGTGTGATGATGGCACAGAATAAGACAGGGTTCAGACATGTTCATAGGGTTGCTGTGGGTCGTACTCGATGGCACCTAACAGCAATAACAACAACAAGAAGGACCTCTCCAGAATGCTAAAGAACAATAATATGAGTTTAAAAGACAAAGGTACAACTGATTCATGCCATGGTCTTTTCAGTTACTTTGATGCATCTGAAAATTGGACAATGGCAGATGAAATGATATCTTGAGTTCTTGTGTTGAAGAAGAGAACTGGACTAGCAAAATGTACAAACACATCTGTCTTGGAGAAAATGCAGCCTTAGTGCTCCTTAGAGGCAAGGATGAAGATACTTGGTCACACATACTTTGGGCATGTTGTGAGAAAGAACCAGTCCTTGGGGAAAAAGACAGCATGCTTGGAAATGTGTCATAAAGGAAGATCCCCAACAAGGTGGATTGACAGAGTGACAATAACAGTGGGCTTGAATATATCAGAGATCATGTGGAATGTGCAGGACGGGGTAAGATTCATCTCTTGTTCTTGGCCTCACTATGAATCATAGTCAACTGGACGGCACCTAACAACAACAGGAACAAAGCTTCCTGTTGTTGGGTAGCTTCTGAAGGATCACAGAAAACTCTGGAGCACAGCTCTGCTCTGACATCCAAAGCATCCTCATGAATCAGAGTTCACTTGAAGATTTGTTTGTTTTTCTCTTTAGGAAGCAGATTTTTTTTTTAATTCCTCCAAGACTCCTCTGGGTGGATTTGATGGTTAGGTTCAAATCAGCAGCCATGTGTTTAATAACCTAGCACTTAGTCATTTGAACCACCCCTCTCCAAGTTTCCTCTGCCCAGTAAGGATTGGAAACCACAGCAGGGAGTGAGGATGAGAGGGAGGACTCAGGACTCTGCAGTGGGAACAGAAGCCACCTCTGATCCCTCCTCCATAGCGGATATGACTGGAAAGCAGGAATGAGTTCAGGCAGGAGACGACTCTATTCCAGGATGGTTCATTTCTTCCAACACTGCCCAGATAGGGCTTCTGCCATACTCTGAACTACTGTTTCCTTCCTTTAGATTGACAGCCCCCTTTTTTTTTGTTTTACCTTTGAAAGGTACTTAGATTTTTATGCTATATCACAATACCCACACAAACTTTGCTCTAAATAGGTTATTACCATGGTGTTTTCACTTGCTTCCTATACATCTGGAAGTTGAACAGTGATTAAGGAAGACTGAAGAAGAATCAATGCCTTTGAATTTTGGTGTTGGAGGACTGAATATCCCAAGGACTGCCAAGAGCACAAAGAACTCTATCTTGGAGGAAGGGCAGCCAAAGTTCTGCTTAGAGGTAAAGAGAGCAAAATCTCATTTCACATCCTTTGAGCGTGTCGTCAGGAGGGGCCAGGCCTTATAAAAAGACATCAAGCTGGTGACAGTAGAGAATCGGCCAAAGAGAGGAAGATCCCCAACAAGATGGATTGATGTGGTGACTGTAACAAGGGGCTTGAGCACATTAGAGATGGTGAGGGCGGTGAAGACAGGCAAGGTTCAGATGTTGTCCAAAGGGTCACCATGAGTCTTAGTTACATGAAGGCACCTAACATACGGGAGTCTGGACTTAATAAGGAGGAATGTGGCATCAGGATTGGAGGAAGACTCATCAACAACCAGCTTTATCCAGATGACATAACCTGACTCGCCAAAACTGAGGAGGACCTGAAGTGTTTGCTGCAGAAGACCAAGGTCTGCAGTGCTATGAACTGCAGCTCCACATCAAGAAAACAAAGATTCTCACCACTTGGCCAATTAGCAACACCATTATTGATGGAAAAGAGTTGAGATTGTTCATCACTTCCACTCGCTCGGTTCCCCAGTCAACACTCATGGCACTAGTCAGTTAGTTAGGTGCCGTCAAATTGAGTACAACTCATAGAGACCCTACAAACAGAAGACCTAAACCCTGTTCTATCTTGTGCCATCCTCACACTTCCTGAGACACAAGAGCCCACTGCAGCAATCACCGTGTGAATCCACTTAGTTGAGGGTCTTCCTCTCCTTCACCGACCCTCCACCCTTGCCAGCATCATGTCCCTCTCCAAGGAATAGCACCTCGTTGCAACATGCCCAAAGTATGTGAGGTGAAGCCTGGTCATTCTTGCCTCCAAAGAGGACATTAGCTGCACCCTCTCTAAGACATACCTGTTAATTCTTTTGGCGATCCATGGGATGGTCAGTGCTCTTCTCCAAAATCACAGCTCAAAGGTGTCAATTCTTTTTCTGTCATCCTTATTCACTGTTCAGCTCTCAGAATATAGCAAGTAATCAGAAAAGACCATGGCTTGAATCAGACACACCTTAGTCCTCAAACTGACATCATTACTTAAGTCAGAAAATCCAAAGACAAATTGCATTTAGGAAAAACTGCTTTTAGGGACCTCTCCAGTGTCCTGAAGAGCAACATTGTTAGTCTAGAGACTAAGAGGCACCTAATCCAGGCCACTGGATTTTGCTCTACAGAGGATAACTTGTGGTTGCTGTGAAGATGAACACTGTGACACTGATGTGTCACATACGAGAATGGTTACCCATGGTGGAGAGTGTTTGGTGGAGCTCCCCAATTAAAACAAGCTTGGAAGCAGGAGGGGAATCCACTTCCGAAATAGCTTGCCTCTGGAAACCCTACGAACTTGAAGAAACGATGAAAAGTTATACAAATGTTCAGGTCTTTCGTTCATAGGGTCACTATGAGTCTCCTCTGACTCGACAGCAATTAACAAAACAAAGAGAGCTCAGTTGGCCTAGTGGACAGGAAGTGATGATACCTAGCCAAAGATGAGATTTTAATCTGCAGCCCTCAGGTGGGCCTGGTTTTAATTGTTTTTGGTCTAAGTTGCCTATTTGCTCTACAGAGGTAACTTGTGGTGGCTGTGATGCTAAACACTGTGACACTGATGTGTCAAATGCGATAATGGTTACCCATGATGGACAGTGTTTGATGGAACTCCCAGATTAAAACAAGCTTGGAGCATCCACTTCCGAAACAGCTTGCCTCTGGAAACACTATGAACTTGGAGAAACAATGAAAGTTATAAAATGTTCACGTCTTTCATTTATAAGGTTGCTATGAGTTGCCTGCAACTCGATGGCAATTAACAACAACAACAATCCAGGCCACAGTCTTTTCAATCACTTGCTACACATCAGAAAGCTGGGCAATGACTAAGGATAATAGGAGAAAACTTGATGCCTTTGAGCTGTGCTACTGGAGAAGAGCACTGAACATACCATGAACTGCCAAAAGAACAAACACGTGTGGCAGCCAGGAAATCAAAAAACGTATCGCGATGGGAAAGTCTGCTGTTAGGGACCTCTCTAAAGTACTCAAGAGCAACAGTGTCTCTCTGGAGACTAAGGTGCACCTGATACAGGCCATAGTCTTTGCAATCACTTATGCATCAGAGAGTTGGACAATGACTAGGGAGGATAGAAGGAGAATTGTTGCCTTTGAGCTGTGGTGCTGGAGAAGAGTATTGAATGTACCGTGGACTGCTAAGAAAACAAACAGATTCATCCTGGAGAGGGTTAAACCAGGCTGCTCCTTGGAGGCAAAGATTCTGGGGCTTCGTCTGACATACTTTGGACAAGTTGTAAGGAGGGACAATTCCTTGGAGAGGGACATCATGCTTGGTAGGGTGGAGGGACAACACAGGAGGGGAAGACCCTCTATGAAGGTGGATTGATTCAGTGACTGGGGTAATCGGGATGGGTGTGTCAGAGGCAATGTGATTGGCACAGGATAAAGCAGGGTTTAGGGCTGTTTTACATAGGGTCGCTATGAGTCACAAAAGACTCGACTCGATGGCACATAACAACAACATCATATATAATGCTGCTCCCGCCTTGTCAAGGAATCCTGATTAAGCCCAATCATTAAGCAGACTACTGATGTAGCCTGGCAGGAGAAAGGCTTTGTAATCAGCTTTTGTAAAGATTACACCCAGGTCAAGCCTGTGGAGCAGTACTGCTGTTACGTAGGGTCACTATGCATCAGAACTCACTGGGCGGTGCCTTATTACCACCACCTGCTCAGGCCTCGAACACCGAGGCTCTGCTGCTTCCTCCAGTGCTCTGGAGCACAGCCCTCAAATCAGCCAAGCGTGCTCTTAAAACTCCCAGAGGCTCCTGACCACCCATAAGCCCCAGCGCCTGGCTTTGGGGCCTGGCTCAGAAACGTCTCTGACAAGGCTGAGCAAGGCCTCCCTTTATTCACTGGGGTGGGCTCAGGAGAAACAGTGCAACTTTAGAAAGTCAAGGATGCCGGGGAAGCAAGTCTGCCGGAGGCAGAAAAGCGCAAGAAGCTTGCTGGAACTTTCCAGCCCCTTGACGCGCCAGCCACAGCCGCCAGTGTGGGAAGGTGTCGAGCAGACCTCGGGGTGAGATCAGGTGCCCGCACTGTGTGAAGCTTGGAGCCACATCCATCTGTCCTCGTCATATATGACAGTGTGCAAAAAAACTGGAAAGCCAGTCCCGTGGTCCCAGAAGAGGCTCCGCTTGGTGTCTGGTGGCCCGAGAAGCGTTCTGGCCATGCGGGACTGGACATGCTCTTCCAACCCTCTGAACGCTAGGACATCCTCAGCTGCCACCGGCCTCTCCACTGCAGGGTGCCACCAGCTGGGCCATCACATGGTGTCACACAGGCGTCTCTTCGGCCACCTTCTTTAGCAGTCCAGCTGCGAGCGGGGAGTGCCGGGTGCCCCCAAACCCCTCTGCATCCCGGAGCTTCAGACAGACCTTCTGGTTGGTCCTTCTCCACTCAGAGTACAGCTGACAATGGTAGCGGAAGGAGACCTGCAGATGAAGACCAGAGGGAAGGGGGCATCAGGGCCAGCTGGGGACAAAGACAAGGCAGGGCTCCCACTTCCGGAAGCAAAGGTGGCATCTGGCTCTGCAAATATCCCTCCCTCCCGGGGCAGCTCCCTGCCAGCACCCCAAGTTCTTCCAAGGCGACATGGCGTCTGTGGTGGGGGAACAAGACGTTCATGTTTGGTTTTGTGCCTTGGTCCTCGTCACAGCCCAGCGTCAGGGGTGGGAGCAAAGATATACGGCCTCTCAGGAGGGACTCACATGAATGGGCCTGTGTCCTTTAACTAAGCCAGTGCCCGAGAAACATTTGCACAGGTGTCCAAAGCACTGTTCCTCACGGCAAAAAACAAAAATCAAACATTGGAAAGAATCTTGGTGTCCATCAAAAGGGATTGGTTAAATAAACACGGCACACCCACACGAGGAAAGACACCGGACGCTGCTTTGTCTCAAGGACGGCAGAAGAGTCCGTGACTATCTCTGTGTATGTTTATAGAGGGGGAGTTCTGGGGGCCTTGTGCTAAGTGGCTGCACCACAATCCTGAAGGCTTGTGGCTTGAATCCACCTGCTGCTCTGTGGGAGAAGGATGGGTAATCTCCTCCCGTACAAGTTACTGCCTCTGAAAACCTGCTGGAGGGTTAGCTGCGGGTTGGTTCTCACTCAGTGGCCCACACAACCACATACCCATCTCTCTTCTAGGGGTTAAATTGCGTAGCTACTATGTAAAAGCGTGGCCATTTGAACCCACCAGCTACTCTCCTTGGGAGAATGGGAGAAGAGTAAAGCTGTCTGCCTTTGCAGGGTTACAGCCTTCAAACCCTGTTTTATCCTCTCCGGGGGAGCTCTGGTGGCCTAGTGGCAAGAAGCTGCACTGCGATCCCAAAGGCACGTGGCTTGAATCCATGGGAGGCCGGGCAACCTCCTCCCCTGTGACTTCCTGCCTCGGAACAACCACTGGAGGGTCAGCTCCGAGTTAGGTGCACCTCGACAGCAAGGAGTTCCGAGTCTGATAGTGTTGTTAAGAAGCTCTGGCTGGTGTAGGCTATAGGGTGTTGTGTGGCAATCAAAAGGCTTGGGCATCTCCAGCAGTTCAAATCCACCAAGGGATAGAAATCTATTGTTGTTGTTGCTGTGTACCGTAGAGTCAGAACCAACCCATAGCTGACCTTCCAGCAAGTTTTCGGAGGAAGTTAACTGTGTGTGAAGAGACTGCCCATTCTTCTCCCGCAGAACCATGGTGGCCTCGAACCAGGAGCCTTCAGGATTGCAACACAGCTTCTTGCCACTAGGCCACCAGAGTTCCCCTATATCTCTATCTATATACTCATACACACCCACAAATCACACAGGTGCTGATGGATGCACTACTATAATTTGTGAGAGCCTGTCACACACCCCCTTCCACAACACTGTAACTAACAGAGGTTTCTGTCTCAGAGTGAGACCAGGGGGAGGTTTGGTTCTAACTCCCGCCATACCAAGACCCAAAGCCAACAACAAACCCACTGCTGGCGAGTTGATTCCAACTCCTGCTGACTTTCCACCGCTTTCCAAGCCCATAAACTTTACCAGGGGCAAACTGGTCATCTTCCTTCCCAGGAGCAGCATTGGGGGTTCACTGTCCATCCTCTGCTCAGCAGCCCAACGCTTCACCGGCTGCATAGCCAGGAGCAGCACCCCCTGTTCATCCATCCATCCATCCATCCATTCACTCAATCACTCATTCACACATTTGCTCGCTCGCTCTCTCTTCCAGTCCCTCTGTCTTCTCTCTGCATCTCTCTCAGTCTCACACATTCCTCAGTCGTCCGGGCACTCTCTCTTTCTCTTCTGTCTGGCTGGGTATTTCTTGGTTGTTTATTGTCCATCTGTCTCTGTATCTCTGTGTGTCTGTGTCTCCCTCTCTCTGTGGGGTGGCTGGGTGCCGTTGAGTTGGAACCGACTCATAGCTGATGAGCCTGCCACGCAGGGATAGCCAGTGAGAGTGCTGACAACAGAGGCCTGGGGATCTGAGGAAGCTCATGTTTTCGGGAGGGCAGCATGTCCCTTGGGACATGGAAGTGTCACACCGGAATCCCAATCCTTGGCAGATTTGTCCCTTTTGTTTGTGACCTTTCTGGAGATCATAAATCTCTAGTCTTATAGCTGACATCCAAGCAGATATATGCACACCCATGTTTATTGCAGCTTTGTTCACAATAGCAAGGAGTTGGAAACAACCTAAGTGCCCATCAACAAACGAATGGCTAGAGAAGCTGTGGTATATTCGCACAATGGAATACTATGCTGCATTAAAAAACAAGGAACTCATGCAATATTATTCAAAATGGTTGACTCTGGAGAACATTATGCTGAGTGAAATATCCCAGTCACAAAAGGACAAATATTACATGATGCCACTGTTGTAGAATGGGACTGTCCTTGGGGTTGGGGAGAGACTGAGTAAGATGGGTTCAATAATGTATACTGCACTGAAACAGAGGAGGGAGAGAACCGTTTAAAAGAGAGATATAACTGGGTATTTCTGCCATCACAGGAGACTAGAGCGAGGGCTACATGGTGGAGGGGACCTGGGGGAGGGTTTGTAAAACAATGAAAGAATCTTTTCTTTTACTTTTCCATAATTTTTGGACTCATGTACTTATAACTTGTTAGTCAAATTTGTGTCTTCTAGGTTGCAACACCCCCATGATACATCTTCAAGGATATGAACATGTACAGCCAAGCACAATCAATAAGAGTGCATCTAAATTCCAAAATCAATCTCCATAATAGTCTATGTGTTTCCTACTGCCAAAGGGGCCCTTTAGAGTAGTGAGAGAAGATCTTCACCCTGAAACCCACAGCGTCCCTTTTCAGCAGGAAGTAGCTAAGAGAATACGCCATCCCCTTTTCCTTATGACTCAGGGTGAAGTCTCTCTCAGGGAGGAGTGATAGGGAATGGCAAAGGACACACTGACAAAGAAGATTAATCAGAACTGGCTTTGACAAGCACTGTGGCATTTGGACAAGAACAAACTGGGAGGAGGGTAGAGAGAATAGTGCAACAATGAATGAGTGGAAGCCCAAAATCTCTGTAAATGTTTATGAAAATTAATAAAATATAATTATAGAAAAAAAATAAATAAATCTCTAGTCTTAAGTATAACATCAACTCAACAAACTCAACTTATTTGCCGTTGAGTCGGAACTGACTCGTAACTGGCCTGCCAGTGTGAGTTTTCAAAAGCTGTAAATCACACAGGAGGAGAGGGCCTATCTTTTCCCTGCAGAGCAGCTGGTGGATCTGAACTGCCTACCTTTGGGTTGGCAGCACAACTCCTTACCACTCGGCCACGAGAGCACCCCAAGTGCAGCACTCTGTATAAATTCTGGGCATCACTGCAGCATCTTTGAGCTCAGAGGGGTTCAGGAACCCCAAGATCAGAAGGCGGGGGTGTTGTGTGCAGCTAGAACCTACCTGGCAGCCTGAAGCCTGGTGTCCTTTTGACTTAACGGGTTCTGACCCAGCTCTGGGAGGCTGGGGTCACAGGAGCGTGCTGGGGGCAGCTCGTGAGGAGGATAAAGTGGGAGGGTGAGGCCGAGATCTGCCCACGCTTCAGGCCTGATCCTTGCTTTGCAATCTTAGTTCCCTTCCCTCGCTCTGCATAGACTCATGGGAGTGAGGCCTGTGGGTGACACTCTCTAACCTTGGAGCAGAAGGCTGTCTCCAGTCACCTAGAGGCTGGGTGTTTCTTTGTTGGGCTTGGAACCTGAACTCTGAAAACATGGGGTGAGCTTGGAGGATGGCCCTCACACACCTTGCCCCAGCTCCCACCTGGGGCAGTAAGAAGGAGCCGGCAGGGACCTGGAGCCCACGGGGTGCCCAGCTCCTGGAGACCCCACTGGCCTGACCTGCGGCCCTCAGCCACTCACCAGAGTCCAGAGCACGTAGATGGTGAAGAGGGCGATGGTGAGGGCGATGAGCCCCACGGCCTCCAGCCTGCTGTGGAGCCGGAGGTGGTCCTGGGCCCCACGCAGGCACAGCCAGCCCGAGACGGCGGCCAGCGGTGTGATGAACAGGAAGCACACCATGTCACAGCACAGCGTCCGCTTCTCCGTCCGGGGCCCTGGGTCCTTCAGCCACTGGTGGGGGAACGTGGGTGGGGGAACAGAAGACACGTTGCTGAGGGGCTGTGTGCTGCACTCCAGTCCTGGACCGCCCTCTGCTGACACCAGGTGGCTGCTGGGCCTGCCTGGGGGTTCCAGACACCACTGTTCCTTTCCAGGAGATTAGAAGGACCAGACCCCAGACTGGGCACCTCCTTCTGCCCCTCTGTGCCTCCCGTCCTCCTTCCCCCATCTTTTTCTCATACTATAAGCTGCCAATGGGGCAGGCCCTGCTAGGTGTGGACAGTTATGATGGGGCACAGAGGGTCCTGGCCTCCTGGAGCTCCATGCCAGTTGGGAGAGGTACAAAGTGGGGTGAGGAGTTGTAGGAGGGCCTCGTGAAGGAGGTGACACTTGAGACTGGACTGACCAGAAGGAGTCTTGTGAGGGAGTGGGAGGCGGTGTCCCTGGCTGTAGGAACAGTGAGTACAAAGCTCTGGGGTGGGGGGTGCTTGGCCTGGCGCACAGACGTCCAGTGGAGGGCCTGGCTCTCAGGGTCGTAAGGACTCCCGACCTTAGCCCTGTGCCAGGCTTCAGGGAGGAGTTCACAGGCATCCCGGTGGGGCTCTCATGAGCAGCCTCTGACCACATCACGTGGGATCCACCACACTCAGGCTGAAGGCATGGCCCCTTTGCCAAGTCCACAAAGCCCAGTGCTTCATTTCTGCTCCCGGCCCTTGGGCTCTTCAAGAGCACCAAGCTCCTCCACCCTCAGGGCCTTTACACAGGCTATGCCCTTGACAAAGCTGGCTCCTTGGCACATCACCCCTGAGGCCTCAGCTTGGCCTTGCCTGACCCCCAAGTTAAGTGACCATATGGGCCCTCGCCGACCAGCACCACGTTTCCCCCGCAGCATTTTCCCTCTGGGCTGCCAGCTACCTCCCTTCTTTCAATGGGTCATGAACTTAATTTGACTGACAGCTGGGTCCCATGTCTAGCACAGGGTCAGCCAGGTGCCACCATCAGCAGGACCTAAGGATAATGGCCAGGGGCAAACGCTACCCTACAGAGAAGCTGCTTCCCAACCCCACTTGGAGCTCCCAGGGACCCCAAGCCTTCCTCTCCTCGCCCACCCCAACCTCAGGCTCACAGGGTACCTCTGTGAGGGGTCGGGGACGCTTCTCCACCACAAACTCCGTGTGGCACAGCTCACAGTAGCTGGTGTTGGACGAGGACAGCCACCTCTCCAGGCAACTCTTGTGCACGGCGCCCAGTGTCCCTGTGCAGCCGCAAGGAGACAGCAAGCTCTCCCCGTTGGCTCCCTCATGGCAGATCCGGCAGAAGGGACCATCGCTAGACACAGACAGGACAGGTGAGCAATGGCGGTGCTTCCTACCCATCTGCACTGGGTGACCAGCTTGGTACGTCACCCCATGGTAAACACCTTCAACGCCCAGCTACAAATATCCTCTCCCTTGGGACACCTCCCAAGGGTCCCAGGGGAGGCGGGATGTGCTCCCTCCTCAAGGCTCCTGGGGCACTTTTTTTGGGCCCACAGAGCACGTGGTACCTGCTGGCTGGCATCCACTACCCCTCTCTCCAGCTAATTGTCCTGGGCCAACCCCCCCCCCAACTCTCACCCTCTGCCTCAAGAACTAGGGCAGAGCTGGTAACACCCCAATCATCTCGGCCTGGCCAATCAGAACGCCACAGCGCCTGCTCAAATAGCCAGACTCAGGACAGAGTGATGCAATCAGAGCCCCTGGGAATCCATTCCGGAAATTCTATTTCCCCCCCCTCCCTTAAACGCCAGCACTGCTGGCTGATGTAAGTCCCAAACGGCTGGCACCACCTGGTCTCTGTGTGGAGGCTGAGGATGACGCCAACCCAGAGGAAAGCAGAGCCAAAAGGGAGCAGAGGCGGTTCCCGAGGGACACATCACGGGCCCTGGATCTAGCTAGACCTGAAGGCAGGTGTGTTCAAGAAACTTCTGTATTGAGGGAAAAGTCCCTCTGCCCCTCTGTCCTGACCAGGGGCTAGCAGACACAAGCAGCGTTCTGCAGAAAGCCTCCTTCGAAACGCCCAGGAGGAAGGGCCCAGAGGCCACACAGCATGAGTCATCACTGTTTTCAGACTTCTTTGTCCAGAGCTGAACTTGAGGAGGACACAAAGGAGGCTGAGCAGGACAGCTGTTTCCCAGATAACATCAGCCTTCCCTCACACGACACCACGAAGCAGCTGTTTGGTCTCTGTTTTTCATTTCTAGCGGCTGTAAAACCTCAGGTCATCCCCCCCACCACCACCCCGCAGTGCCCCCCTCAGGCCTGCTGTCCTCTTAGCCCTTGGTAGTGTTTGCCCCCAAAGAGTCACGTGGCCTGCTCTGTGGCTCCACTCAGCCCCACACTGTCGGCCCACATCCTGCCTCTCCCCTCACAAGGAAAGCTAACGGCACAGGAGGCCCTGCTCCCAAGACCAGTTTGGGGAAGCGGATGTGACAAGAACCCTGAGGAAGGGCCCCCAGCTTGGAGATTGTCCTGGGAGGCCTGAGAAAGGTCAGAAGAGCAAGTTGAGAGAGGACAAAGAAACAGAACTTAACACTTCCTGAGCACTGTGTAAATACAAACCCAGATGGTTACTGTCAAGTCGCCTGTGACTGTGGGGAGCACACGTGTGTCAGAGCAGTGCTGTGTGCACAGGGCTCCCACGGCTGTGACCTTGCAGAACCAGACAGCCAGGCCTTTCTTCCAAGGTCTCCGAGCTCATTAACCGTTGCATCACCCAGGGACTCTTACCACTGCTGGGACACTGTAGGATAGAGCAGAGGCCCCCACAGCACTTCCAGGGCTGTAAATCTTTACAGGAAATCGGAAACATTGGCTTTTCCTGAAGAAGGAGCCCTGGTCAGGCTGGGCCTCTGCTTCCACATGGAGATTACCTTTTGGAGTGGAGGAGAGGCTGTCCACTCTCCGGTAGCCTGGCCAGGCTCCTTCCTCTGATTTATTTAGCCATCTGCCTGTTCTAGATGGTTTTTGGGGTACGGTGACTAACTTAACGTGGTCCTTCCAACCACTGAAGGGAAGAGCGTCAATGAGGTAGACAGACCCAGTGGCTCCAATGAGCTGAAGCACAGAGACCGTGAGCTCGGTGCAGGTCAGCAGGGCTTTGTTTGGTTCTACAAAGGGTCACAACAAGCTGGACTCAACCAGACAGCACCAGACAACAGGCACTGAATGGCGGTGTTGGTGAAGAGTACTGAGTGTACCATGGACTGCGAGAGAACCAACCAGCCCATCCCGGAGGGAGTGCAGCCAGAGTGCTCCTGAGAGGTGGTGGCACTGCGCGTCCTACGCTCTGGGCATGTTTTCAGAGGAGCCAGTCGCTGGCAGAGGACGTGATATCTGATAAGAGTCAAGGGTCAAGGACAAAGAAGAAGATCCTCAGTGAGATGGACAAGCTGCAACAGCGGCTTGGGCATGGCGGGGATGGCCGAGGATGGCAGAGGACAGGGCTTTGTTCTGCCGACACAGGGCTGCTCTGAGTTGGAGTCAAGGCACCGACCAGGAACAGTAGCCATAATCCTTGTGACTTCCACAGTGACGGGGAAGGGCGGGGCATGCAAATGAGGTGGATGGAAGCTGTGCCGGCTGGGGCTTTAGGTCAACTTGGCTAGGCCATAGTACCCTGTGGTTATCTTCCATCTCGGGATGTGGTGAATCTTAGCCTCTATGCCCAGAATCGTGGTCCTTTTGGAGGGAGATGTTATGGTGATGAGGCAGGAATGGTGTGGGATGTACCTTGAGTTACCATCTCACCAGAGGCTGTGATTTGAGTCACGGCCCTCAACCTGTTCACCACCCTGTACCTCCTCACTACCTTACTGAAGCTGAGTCAGCAAGTCACCCCAGTCGCACCTTTTAACTTGTAAGAGGTGAAAGGAAGGAGAAATGAGCAAAGGCATCATGGTCATCGAGAAAGAAGAGTTCCTAGTGGCAAGAAGCTGCACTACAACCCCAGAGGTGCGTGGTTCAAATCCACCAGATGCTCTGCTGAAGAAGAAGGACAATTTCCTCCTGTACCACTCAGATCCAATTTGACAGTACACACACATAAAAATAATAATAAAAAAATTTAAAAAAGAAAGAAGAGTCACGCTGTGTCCTTGGACCTGGGGTCCCTGCGCTGTGAACCTCCTGGACCAATGAGACTCTAAGAGACAAACAGCGGCAGAGAAGCAGAGCAGCAGAGGCAGCAGAACCAGGAATCCGGCAGCAGAGGCACAGTGGGCCTGGCCTACGGAGAGAAAACCCTGAGTGCTCTGGGGCAGAAGATGAACTGGTGGAGGGAGGTGCCTCTAGGCACTTACCAGTGGAGCTAAAGGGCTTTGCAAACCAGGCTGAGAGAATAAATTCTCCGAGAGGCAGGTCTGACTGAGAAGAAGCTGCAGCCTTGAGGCTGAGAGGTCAAGGTCACAGAAAGGCTAGCCTGGCTGAGAAGAAGCTTCCCTGACCGAAGAACTGCACTCTGAGTCATTTCTCACCCATTCCTTTCCTCATAAACCCCACAATCGTGAATGCTGTCTGTGAGTTCTGCCATTGCAATGAATTCTCAACCCCAGCAGAGAAGTAGAGCAAGCCATAGGAGGGCTGAATGGAATCAGAACTAGTTAAAAAAGTAGTGAGAGGAGGCAGGTTTTAGCTTTTGTCTCATAAGAATCAATTTCTCAAAACAATTATGAGATATCATCTCACACCAGTAAGAATAGCAAAATTTGGTCTCTGTCAGATTCTGTAGAGGCACAAATCATCCTGAAATATACCTTAGTGGATAAATTCAGAAGGTTAGGAAGAAGTCCAGCTCCTTCCCATTTTGCCCCTTTCCTGGCTTCTACATAATTCTTTTCCCTATGCTATATTCTCCGCTACTAGCTGTATTAATGTCTTCACGTTCTTATTTCTGCCTCTAGGCGTTGAATTAATAAAGTTCAAATGTGAGTTCAAATGTTAAAAAAAAAAAGAATAGCAAAATTTAACAGAACAGCAAACATCATATGATGGCAAGGTTGTGGAGAAACTGGAACCCCTTATTCACTGTTGGTGGGAGTGTAAAATGGGGCAACCACTATAGAAGGCTGTATGGCACTTTCTCAAAAAGTTGCAAATAGAAATATCATTTGACCCAGCACCACTACTGGGAATATATACCCTAAAGAAACCATAACTGCCACCCAAGCAGATATATGCACACCCATGTTTATTGCAGCTTTGTTTGCAAAAGCAAAGAGCTGGTAACAACCCAAGTGCCCATTAACAAACAAATGGATAGAGAAGCTGTGATATATTCACACAATGGAATACTATGCCGCATTGAAAAACAAGGAACTCATTTAATATTATTCAAAATGTGTGACCCTGGAGGACATTATGCTGAGTGAAATATCTCAGTCACAAAAGGACAAATATTGCATAGGGCCACTGTTGTAAAATGGGACTGACATCAGGGTTGAGGGAAGACAGAAAAGGAGGGGAGGATGATGTATATTACAGTGAAACAAATGAGGGAGAGAACTGTTTAAAAGGGACATATGAAGGAGTATTCTTGTCATTACAAAAGTCCAGAATGAAGGCTGCACAGTGGAGTTGACTTGGGGGAAGGAACTGCATAACAATGAGTTTTTCTTTTCAAGGAGAAGAGTGAATTGGGGGAAAGGGGTCGACAGGGAGAAAAGTGCAACAATGAATAACTGGAAACCCTGAGTCTCTGTAAACTTTCACTTAAATTAATAATGAAAAATGTAAATAAAAAATAAATTAAAAAAATAAAAAGAGTCAATCTCAGGCCACTCGCTGATGCTGACAGTGCACCTCTCCCTTCCTCCAGAAGTCAGGAGGTCACATGCCACCACTATGACATTTGTACAGGTTTCATTAGCAGATGGAGAAGTCAGTCAGTCCGGAGCACAACCATGCAGGAATCTTGTCCCCACTCACCTTGGTGTGTCCAAGGCCCGGATGACGGTCGAGAGGAGTCGGCCGTCCCTTGAAGTCACTTGTGCCACGTATTGGGGGGGCCCGAGGCCTGAAGACTCCACAACCTTGGAGAAGGAGGAGTTGCCAGAGCAGTCGCACAGGGAGCCGGGGAGGTGGCAGCAGTCCCCCGTCGTCATTGCCACAGAAAGGCCCACGTCCTCAGGGCCCAAGGCCCATGTTCCCAGGAGCCTGGGGAGAGGCAGCAGAGTAGTTAAGAGCCATGTTTTTGTGCCAGACAGACCAAGGTTTGAGTCCAGTCTTGAGACCATGGATGAGGACTGCCTCTCCTCAGCAACCTTAGCTGTCTGCTCTGTAAAAGGGGCTGCTGGCCAGCCGAGTGCATTCTGTGAAAGGATGAATGCAGCTCAACCCCAGCCCGGCACACAGGGGGCTCTGCACCTCTAGTCCTCCCAAGAAAAGCCAGGTGGAGCCTTGCCCCAGAGCAGCTCCTCCCCAGCCCATGGGCCACCTTCCAGCCTGCGTTCCCACCTCACAGTGTGTCAGGCCCTGTGCTTGGTCCACGGGGGCTGGACCCGCCCAGCTCACCCAGTAAGCAGAGGCTTCTTGGACCAGATGTGGATATTCCGCTGTCCTGGGGTTGGGCTCAGAGGTGGGGCCCGCCTTTGAGTGGAGAACTAAGCTAGGAACTTGGCCCAATGGACCCAATGGTCAGTCACCTTGACTTTGACCTTCTTGGGAGGCTCTAAACTTCCTGACTCAGGCCACCAAGCAAGTGGCACAGGCTGGAGACAACGTGGCTTCTGTGCCCCAGCTGCTCACAGCCGTGCCTCCGTCTCCGAGGGGAGGGCATGGGAAGCAGCTGGCATCTCTGCAGCAATTCCAAGGCTGTGCTGAGTGGGGAACCCCAGATTTGGCCTCTGCCCAGGTCCAAGTTCGTGCAGCTCCTCCCCCTGCCCCCATCAGCCAGGCTGACTTGAATGAGGGCTTCCTGTTGTCAGTGTGTGCTACAGTGACAGAGATCTCCTCGGGTGTCCCCTTGAGGTCAGAGGAGAGGCCCTGGAGCTAAGGCAGGTCACTGGTGACATAAACAGTGTGCACTGACTGCTGACTGAAAGGCTGGCAGTGGCACCAAGGAAGAAAGGCCTGGTGACCTGCTTTTGTAAAGACCAAAGCCAAGCAGACCCTACGGGGTGTGCCACTCCTGAGGGATCCTGGACCTCAGGGTCAAGGAAGGCTTTCCTCACCACTGACTTTGATTTTCATCACATGGCTCTTTGGAAATGTGAAATCAAGTTTGGTCAGCTGCCTCCTCCCATCAGGTTTAAACGGAGCAGGCTCAGCAGCAGAGCATGGGAATCTCACTTCTAGCCAGGAAGGAGACGCAGGGACTGCAGCACGCATCCTGCAGGACCAGCGATTCCTGCACTAACTAACCAGGCGGGGCAGGGAGCTCTGATAGCCTCGTGGGTCAGGAGATGCATTGCCAATCCCACGGTAGCAGAGTCAAATCCACCAGCTGCTCTATGAGGGAAAGACGGACATTCTCCTCTCGTGCACCTGAAAGCCTCTGAAAACTCGACCTCATATGACAAGTCTGACAGGGAATGACAGCCTCCGAGAGAACCAGAGACCATATAAGACAGAGCTGACTGTGGGACTGCTGCCCCACGGTCAGGGCCAAGGGCTGCTGCCCAAGCTTGCTGGGAGGACTAAAGAGAAGAAAGACACCATAACTGGCAGGACTAAGAGATCGTTTCTTCTTTGCTTTTTTTAAAAATTTTATTTTATTATTTTTTTGTGCATTGTACTGTCAAATCAGATCTGACTGATACAGGAGGAGATTGTCCCTCCTTCTCCAGCAGAGCATCTGGTGGATTCGAACCAGGCACATCTGGGATTGCAGTGTAGCTTCTTGCCACTAGGCCACC